TTATATTTAATATTACAGAATTGTGGAGTTTGGCTAATACCCTTGAAAAAAAAGTATGAATCCTCATCTTCTCTGCCCAGCTATGGGTAAATAGCAGGACAGACTGGGTTCTATAGCCTTGGATGGCAACTGGTCTACTGCAGAAAAAAAAAAATCTGTCTCATCAGTATTTGGGTAAACATTAGCCTACCAAATAGCTGAACTTGACATGTACTGCCCAGGAGATTTTCTTGTGACATTTTTTTTTGGTGGATGATTGAGGGATTAAAAAAAACAATAAAATAAGCGAACAAATGAGGGTTGGGGGCAAAGCAATTACATAACATCAATTACGCTAAGTATAGTTTCCTATCTGGTTTTTCTATTCTGGCTGAAAATATTTACTTTTAATAATAAACAATTCTAGAAAAAAGAATTATTTACCGATAAATATAGAGTTGCATTTTTGAAATGTAAGCATAAGTTCCTATCACTCTTTTTTAAAATAAGAGATTGAATATACAGAGAATTTGCTTAAGAATAATAATAAAGTACAGTGACACACATATTATACATGTAATATATTGTCAACATCTTTTGTTATTTAAATAATAAGGTTGAATTTCTCCTTGAAATGCGCAACTTATAAACATCTCTTCAATAATGCTAAGTGTACTTCACCCTACACAAGATGTTCTTTTGTTAAAGTGCATTTAGAATTTCATGTGAAAGCCCTAGAGACAATGTATATTAAGTCCTGACAGGCCTCTCTCTGTAAGCAGAAGAGCTTTTTAGGTTTAAATGTTGTGATATTATAATATAACCATCCTGTCTTGGGATATAGAGGCACAGTGGAGTAATAGATAGCAGCTCAGATTAAGGAATCGGACAGCCAAGTTTGAATTCCAGTCAAATTCATTATATTTACTTATGTGCTAATACCCTTGGGAAAGGTATGAATCCTCTTCCTCTCAGCTGTGGGTAAATAGCAGGACAGACTGGGTTCTATAGCCTTGGATAGCAACTGGTCTACAGCAGAAAGAAATGGCAACCTATTGCAGGAAAAAAAAATATGTTTCATCAGTTATGTATTGAAAGATGTGTGTATCATGCATGGCCCATAACTGTCTTTGGGATTCCCCATTATTTTTAATGATTGTGCACATCTTATTTCTTAACAAAAGCTCTGAACATTCTGAGGAATCATAAATTGTTAGCATTCCCCCGACCAGCAATTCTTTACAGCAATTATTATATATATATATATATATATATTTTTTTTGCTTCTACTTGCTTTTTATTTTCTTATTAAATTTTTTTTCATGTCCCTTTTTTATTGTAATAATAAACTTGGAACTCCCATTAAAAACATATATAAACTTTTAATATTTTATTTCTAATTTTACCAACAATTTCAACAGATTTAAGGTCATTATATTTTTTCTCCTTGCTCTTAATTTCCCCTCCCCAATTACATTTTTGTAACATCAGTTTTTACTGTAATAATAAAACACTGATCAATAATAAAAAAAATAAAAGCTTTCTGAACAAACATGTCTAGTAGAGAAAAAGAGATAGAAATTGAAAATGACTAACAAAACCTAAAGTTAAAAATATGAATCTTATCAAGAAACAATAATGATAAAAAGTAGGATAGGGTAAAGGAATTTCTACCCTTAAATGAAAAATAATTACTGATATTTTTGTACACGTATGAGGAATCAAAGACTCCATGAATGGATTGATACTCTAAAAAGTTTGCAAACTCCTGCTTCAGACTGTTTATACTTGACAGCACTGTTTCCATTTTGGCTACAAGGATTGACTTTATTAGTAAGATTTTCTCAAATCATACAGTTATATTCTTTATTTCTTAAGGTAGTGCAGCAACAAAACTGTCTGATTTGTATGTGTCAGGCCCTTTCAGGATGTGCTTAGTCATAGCTTTACAGTTTTCTATCCGTTTTAGCATGAAACAAAGTTTTGTCGCCTTACTATCCTTCCATGTTCATGTTCTGCCATCCATTTACACAAATTCATTAGCAATTTTCTGTCTGAATTTCTGGGATTAGAAGTTGTTATTTATTACATTACTTATACTGATTATTGCTCTCATTTCTGTTGTTATTAAAATGTTTCAAGAAAAAGGTTAGAAGGCACAATGGCAGAAATGTGATAACAGAAATGAGTTTCTAAGGTATGTTGCTTGCTTTGCCTTTCTTGCTTTCAGTATGTCTTGTGTGCATCAAACTTTTCAAAATCTCTTTCCTCACAATGTCCTAGATTTTTCAACTATGTATAAGCATCCTTTTTGTTTCTATTTTCATTAAAACTTTGTTGCTCACATGATCTACCCATGGTATTCTCAGCATTCTTCTATAGAACTACATATCTGTTGATTCAAGTTTCCTCAACTGTGAGGATATAGGATGATTAATATTACATAGCAGTTCAGCACTTTTCTTTGTGTCTAACTTTTGTGACATATGGTGGCTGTGAATGTTAAGTATAACTCAAGATTTCAAAGTTAAAATAAAACAGTATTTAATTACAACTGCAAATAAATATGTAACAAGAACAAAGTAAAAGTCAACCAAAGATAATTAACCATTTCAGTGAATAACTTGTTAGTAGTGTGGCTCAGCTTAATGTCCAGTAAATCCTAAATTAAAACCCAATAATTCATACTAATTTGACTGGATAGTTCCACTCAATAGTTGCTCAATAATCACTGCAGTTAGTAGTCTAATACCGTTATTTATACACCTGGAGGAAAACATATTTATAAGCCCAGAGTATCAGGCTCAAACCTTGGTGTTGGTAGTTACTCATTTTCTTCCTATAGACACTAATGAAATTTTCCTGTTGCTTAATATTTTATTTAGTTTCTGGAAGGCATTTGTTCATTATTCTCTAATCATCTTTGAATTATTTATACTAGCAGTATTAAATGTAATCACCTACAAATTGCTAAGATGATGCATTGTCATTATTTGAGTAACATCTGCAAATAAAATCTTCATTATCTGATAAGGACACCATGACAAAGAAATTTCAAAGGTAATGGTAAGTTCGAATTTTACTGCACACATATTCTTTATTTTCTTATGCACTGTTTATCTAATGGTCATTGAATAATGATTCAAGAGTCGCAAGCAAAAGCAACCAAAGTAAAATTAAAGTAAAGTAAATATGTAGTGATTCCCGATAGAAATAAAACAAAAATATAAAGAATTCAAATTAAAATAAGGCATTTGCAGTTTCCTTTTAAACCCTTATCCATTTCTTCCTCTCTAAACTTGTCTTTCTCAACTTCTCTCAACTAAGGAGAAAGCAACCCTCAAATAGAAATAAAAGACTGAACCCAGCCCAAAAATGCTGGAACAGAAGTTTGCAGGATCAGAGCCTATTTATTTCTAACCGAAAAATATAAAAAATCAGGGAGGCTCCATGCATAACTTACTTTATTAAAAAAAAAAAAAAAAAAAAAAAAAAAAAGCAGAAAATAAAATAAAATTGGCCAATCAAAAAATTGACACAAAGAGACTTTTAATGTTAGCCGTAACCAATATTTTCACAGTCTCAGAGTGTGGTGAAACCAGCATTGTGTGACATGTGAAGAAATAGTTAGGTCATCTGCTAATTATATTTCTGCCCTGCTTAAGGCCAAGAAAAAAATTTCTAATATTACTACTACCCCTATCAAGGTCTGACTTCAACCTACACTACTGGACCTTCTCCAGACTGCTATCAATATCTGCATTATAAATTAACATTTTTGTGACACTGAATATCAAAGGACTTACTCATCATCATAAATAAAAAATATTTTATTTATTTTATATCCTTCATCTAGTTCATTTTATGTTCTATATTTCCAATAAACATTACTCTAAAATATTTGATAATACCTTATATCTTTCAGATTCAGTCCTTTTATTGCTGAAGTTCTATTAAAAGATAATTCTACCACTTATACACAAATATTTTTTTATTAAGAAAAAAATATAAGTTGTAAAAAAATGACAAATAATAAAAATAAACATAAAATAAAACTAAATTTGTCTATCACTCGTCTATTGTGAACAATAGAAGAGTGGAGAGGTGTGAATTCTTTTGAAAAGACAGAATATATTCCTAAACAACTGTTAATTTCTACAATCATTAATGTGTAATGGTTAACAATCTTTTCTTACAGTCCAATTAGTTCATGCAATGAGTGGTCAGATAACAATGGGTATTAGTGCAGAAAGCGGTATCAGCAAGCAGGGTTCAAATTCCAGCCTTGTCTGTTGTTTTCACTTTCACACTAATGTTCTTTGGGAATGACAAGACGATCTCTTCTCTCCCAAGATATGGTTTTAAAAAAAAAAAAAAAAAAAAAAAAATGAAGTAGACGGGACTCTCTCTTCAAAATCTTGGTGAAGGAAACAAGAACCCACTTTATCTTTCCCAAAATATCATTGTAATTAACAGATAATAAAGGAGCTTGTGGAGAGCTCTGATTATCTACATTTTGAAGAGACATGACAAAAACAAAAAGAAAAAAAATGTGCAATTCAAATCAATAATTCACTCTCTTTGCCTTAGTAAATAAAGATACTCTTAGGTGTAATGGAGGGGACCATGATAAAAGTTGGTGTCAGAAAATCATTTTAAAATGGTCAAAAATATAATATATAACTAAAGTAACTTTTTTTTAAAAAAAATATCAAATTTATCAAAGAGCAATGGAACACCATTTTTTTTTTTTTAAAACAATGCAATTATAAAAGCATGCAAGTAAAAACCATAATTAGTTTCCTGTTTGAACTCTTGGGGAATTATGAAATTGATAAATGGAATAGGTTGAAGAAAAAGAAAAAGGATAAGAAAGAAGGGATAGAAAAAAAAAAAGGATAAGAAAAAAGGGATAGAAAAAAAAAGGATAAGAAAAAAGGGATAGAAAAAAAGGATAAGAAAAAAGGATTAGAAAAAAGGGATAAGAAAAAAGGATTAGAAAAAAGGGATAGAAAAAAGGATTAGAAAAAAGGGATAGAAAAAAGGATTAGAAAAAAGGGATAGAAAAAAGAAGGGATTAGAAAAAGGGATAGAAAAGGATTAGAAAAAGGATAGAAAAAAAAGGATAAGAAAGAAGGGATAGAAAAAAAGGATAAGAAAGAAGGGATAGAAAAAAAGGATAAGAAAGAAGGGATAGAAAAAAAGGATAAGAAAGAAGGGATAGAAAAAAAGGATAAGAAAGAAGGGATAGAAAAAAAGGATAAGAAAGAAGGGATAGAAAAAAAGGATAAGAAAAAAGGGATAGAAAAAAGGATAAGAAAAAAGGGATAGAAAAAAGGATAAGAAAAAAGGGATAGAAAAAAGGATAAGAAAAAAGGGATAGAAAAAAGGATAAGAAAAAAGGGATAGAAAAAAAGGATAAGAAAGAAGGGATAGAAAAAAAGGATAAGAAAGAAGGGATAGAAAAAGGATAAGAAAGAAAGGAAGAAAAAGGATAAGAAATATATAATAATAATAGATAAACCTCCCTACTATCTATTAGGCACTTAAGAGTACTGGGTTACTTCACCACAGATGCATCATTGACAAGCTAGTCCAGCCAGCTACAGAATAATGATTTCAGCCCCCACCACACACACACAGACAGTATGACATTTATTTGGACCTATACGATCACCAAACTTAAGCAACATCAAACCTGGTCAGTACCTAGATGTCTGCTTGGGAATACCAGTTGCTGTAAGCTTGGATGTGCTGGTGGTGTAAAGGATAATGGCTTGGAATTGTTAATTGGAGAGCTAAGTTTGAATTCCACTTGCATTCATTATATTCACTTATATGCAAATACTCTTGGAAAAAAGTGTATAAAGAAACCTCATCTCCCCCCAGCTAAGGGTTAATTAGCAAGGCTTGTATCACTAAAACCATAATTATTTCCCAAAAATAAAATTGCATACAAAATATTTACATTTTGAAATTAAATACTGCATAGATGTTGATATGCCGCTAAACAGAAACAACCAACAATATTTGTATCTTTGTGTCAGACAAAGAAAATACATTTGGCTGCTTAACATGGTGTGATGGTTAGTAAGCTGGTCTTGCAAATTAATTAATTCAATGAACCAACATCAATCCTCATAGGTCCCTCTAATATTGTGGCCTTATACCAGACTAAGACATACTTAGTAAATACAAAGTAAATATTAGTGAGAAATAAGTACCACTTGAACAGCTTCCCACAGACCACTATTTTGTGGAACCGACTCTCATGAGGATGCTTCCCTGACCACTACAATCTTAACCTGTTCAAGTCTAGGGTTAACCATTAACTTTCCCCATGTATCCTCTCATTCAATATACACCTTCAGTAACCCTTTACCTCATGACTCTTCGTCTTGAATAGGGTGAACATTAGTATTAAAAAAAAAAAGGGGGGGTTGCTGCCCATAATAATTATTACATTTATATACACATACACTAAAATGTAACAATATTATGGAACAGAAGTATTACTATTTAATACCTGTCCCATAATAGTTGTTACATTTGCATGCACATACTAACTCTAACAATATTATGGGACAGAAGTAGTCATTTGTAATAATGTACATTAAAACATTTTCTATTAATAAAAATTATATTGCAGACATTGGTTATTTTCTATTATTAAAAAGGGTTCTTTTAAACTCCCTTTTTTACATGCAACCATACATGGGCACATTTAGAATATGGAATGAACATGAGGAAGATTTGACTTTCAGTGAAAACTTTAAAATCCCAAGACAACATGTGTTGTCATAAAAAAATATGATCACCAACAGGATATTAAAATGAAAGGAAAATGTTATATAGATCAATTTTTGCCCGTGTTTTTGAATTTCAATGTGAGTATTTGCTCATCTTAGATAACCTGATTTGGTTGACTTGTTTGGCTATTAAATGCAATATGATGAGTCACACCAGGTGTCAAATTCCACCCCTTCTCCCAAAGTGCCACTAAGTGCTTCAAGATGATTGGAGCTTGTTTTAAACTATCATGTTACAGCCAAAATTATTATCATCTGAAGTGGAAAATTTGTTTTGTTTTACTGAAAGACTAAACAATGATGGGCATTCAAATACACACACACACACACACATTATAGATTTGGTGGAAGGTCAACTGAAGTTCTTTAAGGGTTTTATTTTTTTATATATACATTTCAAACCCTTTTCATAGTTTCTGGTGAAAATATGAATGTAAATTGTCCAATGTCTGTATGTTCAGCATTCACAAGATTACATATCACATTATCAAAAAAGTTTTTTGTGCTCAGTCACATCATTTTTCAATTATTGTGTCTTCCCATGACAGTTTGCATTTTGTTTTTGTAATACAAACACACACTTCTGTTGTTTTTGATGTATGAGGAGACAGCAGCTTAGTCTTTAGAACTGAACAGACAGACTACTGACACATACAATTTAATTATAGTGGTAAAGGTTTGTACAGAACCAATGACAATTTTTGGAAGAGACAAATACAGAGAACAGGTGCACATAGTGTGCCACAAGGTCTTCAAAACAACCTTCCTCAAGTTTTGAATTCAAAATTGTCCTTCTCCTAGATTGGTCGCCATCCAAGGCTATAAAAACCCAGTCTGTCCTGCTATTTACTCATAGCCGAGGGCAGAAGAGATGGATTCATACTTTTCCCCAAGAGTATTTGTAAATAAATGAATGTAATGAACTTGACCAAAATTTGAACTTGGCTCTCCGATTCCTAAACCCGAGCTACTATCCATTACTCCACCGTGCCTCCTAGTGTGTGTGTGGTGGTGGTGAGGGGAATGGTGAACAATAACAAGAGATCTATATTTAGGATTTATTTTAATGTTTCTGGGTAAAATTTGAATATAAATTGTTCAATGTTTTCTGAGTGTTTTTGGCTTTCGGAAGTCATTACCACAGCGCTTTTAATTTTGTTTTATATATATATATATATATATATATATATATATATATATATATATATATATATATATACACACACATTGTGTCTTCTTTGGATGGTTATGGGTGTTATATTTTCAAGAGTTGGTGGGTATAATCTCACAGTACTCAAAAACTACCAAAGAAAACACTGTATACATATAAACAATAAAAAAAAAAATAAATAAATAAATAAAATTCTTTCACTGTGGCCTAAGAAAGTCAAAATCACTTAGAAGATAAACAATTTATATTCAAATTTTCCATGGAAAACAATGGTCTGAACCATAGAAAAATATTAAAAAAGAAATTGAACTATTGTTCAAATAAACCTATAGAAATCCTTGGCTACATGTTCCTAACTGGATAGAAATATGGTGCATTGTTACTTGATGGTGCAATCACCGAGTGGAATGTATTGCTGGTAATATTTTTTTTTTTCAAAAATGTATTGCTGGTATTAAAGCCTATTTTTACACTTTCATATTATTTTGACCCCACTTTCATATTGTTTTGTGGGTTAACTATTTGCCCATAGCTGGTGCTACCACTCTGGGTCAGGGTGGACCTGGAAACACCAGCAATTAAGAGGTGGTTTCACACTCCCCAAAACCTTATCAGAGGCCTTGCTGCTGAATGCAGTTTATCATCAAACCCAGGACACGGATGTAGTATATTGGGAGAGGGTCTTACTCCTCCGCAGAAGCGCAATCAGCATATTCTGAAGCCCCAGCCAACAGGACAAAAAGAAATTGGAACACCAACTGCATATCCAAGCTTACAGCACTTGGTATTTCCAAACGGTCACCTATATAGATACTAACTTTGGTATTTCAACATATGGCCATGGGCTGTTTAACTAGTGAGAATGAGAGCTTTTGTAGATATAGTGTGGGCATTGGAATCATTATACATCTTTACATTGACTTGTTTTGCTAATAAACTGATGTCGTCAGAAAAGGAATTTTATTTCACAGGAGTAAAATCTATATCAGTAAAACAAGCTTTATTTTTGCTGTAATAATATTATAAGAAATCATACTTTTATAATTAATTTTATTATTATAGAAATCAAAATTTAATTCAACTCAGAAATTGAAATAAAAATAGAAACTTTCTTTGAATTCAATTATTTTCATTCTTCAGTGAAACCTTTCAGAGAAAACTGAGAATTGCTAATTTCTTGAACAGAGTTTTTTGTCTTGATTGTTCTGTTATTGCAGCAAGCCATTATATAACAGAAATTAATTATAAGTAGCCTTTCTGATCCATATTGTTTGTTTACACTTAGGTGCCTAATACAAGGTATAATTAGTGGGAGATGGATTTTTCTTCAACATGCAATAAACAGAGGGGAAAGGGGGTTAATAATGGTGTGAGAAAATCATTTAGAAAATGAAAAAGTGTGAAAATAAAAGCTTGGGGAGTGGTGGAAAAAATTCCTAAAAAAAAAAAAAAAAAAAAAAAAAAATTTATTTTTTTTAAAATTAAAAAAATAAATGAAATGAAATGAAAAACCTACATTGCTCCCACTTCCTTTAGGTTGAAGAATGTCAACAGACACTTCAAGAAAAAGAAACAAAAATAAGGTAGGAAGTAAAACTTCAAACAAAAAAAAATAAAATTTAAATTTAAAAAAAGTAATCAATGTCTTATCTGAAATTTGAACAAGTTTTTGGGAACATTAACTAAGTCTTGAGAAAAATCAAGCACAAACAACATTAGTGGAGGAATGAAAAAAAACAAAAAAAAAAACTCAATTTGGGAAGCTATTCTCATGCAAAAACTTATGCCTTGTCAAATGATGAAAGTACCAGTTACAACTATTGCCTTATATTATTAGAAATTAGTACACTTACACTCACTTAGCACTGCACAAGGCCAACCTCAATAGACACAATTCTTGCACAAGTGCCTGTTATAATATGGTATTCAGCAAGCATCTCTTGTGTAGCAAATTCAACCTTCATGAGATATTCAATAACAGAGTCCCAGTGTCATATTAAGCTCAGTAAATATCTCATTTTGAAAATAACAAATCATATTGAAGAAAAAAAAAATATTAATATTGTTAAACAATTCAATTCTCTGCAATTAGATTTCTCTCTGAAAAGAAAATGCCATAAAAAAAGCAGTATAATTGCCTGCCATACGAGGCACCCATCTAGCCCCACAAAAAGAGAGAGAGAGAGAGAGAGAGAAGCCCTCAAAAGAAATAAAACAAAGCATACTAAATATACACTATAGTTCAAAAGTTTGAGGTCACCCCTGGTAATTTCTTAAATTGGCCCCAAAAGCAGTTGTTTTGTATTTTAAATAAGAGAAAATTATTATACAGGGTTAAAAAAGTGAGACAGGACATTCGTTTATTAGAAATTTTATTATGACAAAAAAAAAAAAAAAAGATTAAATTTTGCTCTCATCAAAATATCCTCCTTTAGCCTCAATTACTGCAGCACAATTTTTGACATTCGTTGCAAAAGTTTCTCAAAGTATAAGTTTGATAATTGATTCCATTCTTTTTTCAATGACTCTAGAAGCTTTTTTCCATTCTTTTTTTCATTCTTCTGTCAAGTTCAGGCCATGGTAATTCTGGGGGTGGCTTCAAACTTTTGAACTGTAGCATACCTCTAGTTTTTTCTAAGTGGCACAAAACAAAGAAGATATGTTTATGTTACTCTCTAAGTTCAAAATATAGAAAAGAGCAGTTAATTCACTAAAAAGAGTGGAAGGCATTTGCAGATACCAACAGTTATTATTGATCGTTTCTTTATAGTTTATCGACCTTTTGTGGGTTATTTAAATTGAAACATTTTTGAATTGTAAAAATTCTTTTTCTGCCAAGTGAATATTGTATTAGCAATTTTAGATTAACAATGATTTTTCCAAATAAAAGTCCTATTTAACCCATAGCTGGGGGAGAAAAGATGGGTTCATATCTTTAATAGAGTATTTGCATATGAGTGAATATGAACCAAACTGGAATTTGAATTCAAGCCTGATTTCAACTTCTGAGCCGCTATCCATGACACCACCTGCATACCCCAACAGTTATTAGAACCATAGCATTATAAACAGTTTTACAGAATGACCATATTAAAATGGTCTATGTGATATATTTTTTATCACATAGGGTTGTTGCAGCAATAAGAAGAATTAGGATGTGCAAATAGTCTAACAAATATTGGCATGGAAATTGAATTTGTTGAGCTTGAAGGGGTTGCTCTAACTAATTTATATTATACAAATTACCACAAAATATGAAACATGATGAAGATACACATTCAACAAGTTGCACAAGTAAATGGAATTTATATATACACTAGCAGCATGGCCTGGCGTTGCCCGTGCTTGATTCAAAAATAGTACGACTAATACAGGAATTGCTATCACTTGACATAAAATATTTTTGCCCTTCCTTGCCTTTAGAGGAGTGCCCTTTGCCGTGCTGATGTTGTTATATGCCTTACTTCTTGCCTATATCACACTGCCAACTTTTTCTAAGCTCTATAGTAAACATTAAATCTGTTACGAAAAAGAACTAAACAAAATAAACACAATACGATCAGCTTTAAAAAAACGGAAAAACATTTTTAAGGGTTGACCGATTGTCGATTTGCACTCTGAGGGGTGCTCAGAGTTGAAACTTCACATGATGACTCCCAATGGCCTCTTCATAAATCTGCTCGGTTTTCGCTAAAAACCGACATGCAGTTCAGACGCAATCTGGGTGTATCGGTTTTTGGGTTTTATCGATTTTCCGCACTGTTAGGGGTCCGTGGTCATGAAACTTCTGGACAACACTTCTAATGGTAAACTAAGAGGGTGTCAAATTTGGTTGAAATGCGATCATTCCTTCTGTAAGCAGAATTTTTTCCATTATCGATTTTTTTTTCGAACCTGATTCCAACTCAAAAATCGGGTTCCGTCATGTCCTTACGGCAGCCATTTGCAAACTTGTGTTGAAAACCGCATCGAAATCGGGTGAGAAATGCAGCCTGGGTGAGGTAACAACGCCCACGACAGACAACATGAGTAATATAGATAACAACAATTGTACAAAACAGGAATTCAGTTGTGTTTGAAATACTGAAATTTACTTGTCCTTGGAATTTTGATCAAGGAAAATGTTCTTGTCGATAAACTGTGAAATGTATTAAAAGGTGTGTGAGTTTGGAGAATTTTAGTAAGATGTAGTGTTACCTGTAAGAGAATTCAACAGTTTGAAATTTATGTGAAAATATAAATTAAAAGGTATCTGGTACAATACTGTGCAGATTAATTGAAACGGTGACTTCAGTTTAATATATTTTTCTTTTATACAGTCTTTAGACAGCATCACAATAGTTTAATGATTCCTAATCACAATGAAACACAGTGCACACTCTTATTATAGAACACACTTGAAACAATTTTGAATATTTTAGAATTTATTTGTAACTAAACTTTGTATTTGGTTAAAAATATTTTAAAAGTTATTGTTTTGCTTGTAAGTCAGATTTTTTATGTTTTTTTCAGTTACTACTTCTGATTTTGAAATTAATTTGATTATTTTTTTTCAACAGGTAAAATAAAAATGGATATAACTACTAGAATGTGTGTATAGGTTATTGCACTCCATGAACATTCAAACAAATCTGTGCAACAAACAGCCCAAAGCCACAAGATAAGCAAATCCAGTGTTGAACACATTGTGAAAAGGCAGGCTCTATTGGGTCAAAAGAAAAATGAAAACAACCCAAAGAGATGAAGCAATGCTGCTCAGAAACAGTATTAAAAGCCTAAGGAAGGGTAGCAGGGACCTGGCAGCAGATCTAGTAGAATCCATTGTGTCCATATTTGACTCAATTGTCAGAAGACTGCTACTTAAATTGGAGTGACCAGTCAGAAAACCACATAAAAACAACTTTTGACATGAAGAATGAAGGATAAATGACTCCATTGGGCAAAATCTCAAAGATTGGAGAGTGGAAGATTGGAAGAAAGTATTATCTTGGATGAAACATTTTGAAGTAAGAGGTCAATCCTGCTTTGTACAGAGAAGCAAACAGGAAGCCATAAGAGATGGCCATATTAAGCAAAAGCCGAAACATGTTCCCAAGAAAATGTTCTGGGGCAGTTTTAGTGCAAATGGGTTAGGTAGATTGAAAATATTTGAGGGGATGATGAATAGCACAAAATACAAAAAATCTTTGTAAAGTCCATATGCTCCGAACAATGGAAGAATTTTAGCCAGATGGAGATGGCGTGTTTCAGCAAGATAATGCCACCTGGCACACACACACACACACACACACAAAAAAAAAAAAAAAAAAAAAAAAAACTTTTTTCTAAAATGAGAGTGTAGAAGTACTGGATGGGCTAGAAAATTCCCCTGACTCAAAACACCATTGATGACTTGTGGAGTATTGTGAAGCAACAACTGATAAAACAACTGTACCAGCATGAAAAAGCTAATCTGTGCAGTCATTTAGATATAGTATAATAATGAAGAATTGGGCAATAGGTGTCTAAAACTGGCCAAATCTATGCCAAAATGAGTCCAAATACTCATTAAAAGTAGAGGCAGATATATAAAATACTGTGTTATGACATTTTAGAACAGTTATGTAAAGCTTTATGGAAAAAATAAACATAATTTGATAATGTGTCATTTTTCTATTTTATTTTATTGAAGTCACTATCCCAATCAATTTGCACAGTACTGTAGAAACCATGATTGCCTATGAGATGAAGGAACATGGCAATTAAAAAAAAAATAATGGGAAAAAAAAAAACAAAACAAAAAACTATTTGATATTTTTAATAAATAAAATGAATAGAGAAACATTAAATGTTTTTAATATACTAAAATGATATGACTAATGACAAAGACTAACAGTCAATGGGAATGTACAATAACTAACATAAGTATTAATGACACAGCAAGACCGTATCAGAACTCTTTGGCCACTAAAGAAAAAAAAAAAACATCCGGGTAAAAACCCAGGGGATAAAATGGCTGATATCCAAAATCAACAAATAAATAGTTTAATATACATATGGTCAGCTCAGGTACAGAGATTAATCTTTTCTGATTAAGAAATGTAGCAAAGGTTTATTTATTTAACTGACAGTCTTCATCTTGTTGGTTACACAAAGAATTAGATAGTTATATGTACAAAGAAATAACAGGATGTTGTGAATCTCTTTACAACCAATGAAATTTAAGATTAAGTAATTACAAATCAGTGGTTGACAAAATTTTCAGTTCTCTGAAAACTACACACAAATATATTATATGTGATATCACCAATCATCACAATAATAGCACAATGTTGTAGACAAGATAGTAGAAAGAAAGAAAAAAGGAAAAAAAACAGATCTACTTGGAGTGGGCTGATTTAAAATCCAACAGATACCAACAACTAAAATATATATATATATATATATATATATATATATATATATATATATATATATATACACACACATACATAAAAGTTTAATAGTCAGAGATGAATCATACCAGGAAACAGTGGTATTAAAAAGTGCTCAATACATGTGTGAAAATAAAAGTAAAAATAATATGTAGAGCTTTTAACTAACTTCCTCCTGTACAGTTAATATATATATATATATATATATATATATATATATATATATATATATATATATATATATACACACACACACTTTCTGGTTTCTAGTCATTAGAGTCTCTGTATATTTCTGAGATGAGGTATTATGTACAGTATTTACATTAGTCGGACTATTGTACTCATTTTTGTCGCATCATATTTGTCACAACGTTTATTTGGTTGTATGCTCCGGCCTTCTTCAGGTGGTTGGAATTTCGAACTGAACCCTTTATTTCGATCACTGGGGTGGAACTAGAACAGTCTACCCCAGTGATCGAAATAAAGGGTTCAGTTCGAAATTCCAACAATCTTTGTTGTTATACTTACAACATTGTGGCTGTTTTAGCACAACAGCCACAATGTTGTAAGTATCATCAGGTGTTTGTCAATAGCTTAGTGGCTTAAAGTGAGGTTTCATGAATTTGGTGACAGTAATTGTGAGTTCAATCCCTAGGTCTGCTAGTACAGACTTAGATTCAGTCAAAACAGGGCAAGAAGTAATGCAACAATACTAAATAAGAACATGATGAGGTATCCCTAGATATGGACAGTAGAACAAGAACACTATTCCTGCAGATTAAATAAAGTGTTAAATTCCTATTAAAAAAA